CAAACAGATCGTTAACTGTCTGAATGGTTGCTGCTTTATACATACCTTCTGCGCTCACTGGCGTAAATCATCGCAAATTTTACATGAAGGAAACTGAATAATTTTCGCTTGCCGGTCTTTTTTTTTGAAAATTACCCAGCTGTTCAGTGAACAACTTTCCCGCCAAAACTTTTAATTGTCCGTACGTGAGAAAAACATATATCTAACGGCTGAATTTGAAATCTTTATGTTGTACTTGGAGAGGGAACATTCCGTTAAAAGTTCAGCTTTTCTGGTTTCCGAGTCAGCAATTTAAGCAGGGCCCAAGCGTGCGTGAAGGCTGGTACCGCAGTCCTGGAATGGCACTTAGCCAGGGACCTCACTGGCAAAATTTCAACGCCGAGCCTTGCTTAGTTACTGACTTGAAATAACTGGAGAGATGCACACACGCACACCATAGGTCGCCACAGTATGGGTTTTTATGTGTTTTTGAATGTATGCAAATTGCAAAAACGTATGTTACACAATCCTGTCTGTGTATGTGTGTGCGTATGTTTGTGTGTGTGTGTGTGTGTGTGTGTTCGTCTGTCCGAGTATTTCAACTCAGCAATCAAGCAAACTACTGCGCCAAGGTTTTGCCAGTTGGTTCCCCGACCAAGTGCTACCTCAGAACCGCGGTACCAACTCTCAGGCACATCTGGGCCTCACTTGCGAGCGCTTGAAAATTTTGGCGGGAAAATCGCTAACTCGGAAACGAGAAAGACTAGAAGGCTGAAATTTTGAGGTTATGTCCCTCGTCCACACAGAACTTAAAAATTTCAAATTCACCCTCAGATATGCGTGGTTCCCGCGTAGGCCCCGTGAGGGTTCCTAGCGGGAAAATCGCTAACTTGGGAACCAGGAAAGCTGGGACGCCGAAGTTTTTAAGGGATGTTCCCGCTTATGCACAACTTACAGTTGTCAAATTCAACTACCAGCCATGCGTGGTTCTCACGCACGGTCCGTGAAAGTTTTTGGTGGGAAGAATTGCTAACTCGGAAACGAGGAAAGCTAAAAAGCTGAAATTTTCGGGGTATGTTCCCAGCCCGCGTAAAAGTTCAAGATCAAATTCAGCTCCTAGATATGCGTGGTTCTCCCATATGGTCACGTGAAAACTTTGATGTGAAAATTGCTAACTCGGTAATCAGAAAAGCTGGAAAGCTAAAATTTTAGAAGAATATTCCCCATCCAAATACAACTTAGAGGTTTCAAACTCAGCCTCCAGGTACTCATGTACGAGCACCTAAGTTTTTTGACGGGAAAACTGCTCGTTGAACAGCTGGGTCATTTTCAAAAAACGACCGCTAAACG